GGATCAGCAGTGTGTGTTTGGATCTGCTGTGGGACCTTTGGGTAGCTGAGATACTGATCTCAKTTGGGTGAAACAGCTGAAAGGACTCAAGTCCCAGCTTCCTTCATGTCTGGTGTGATGGCATAGTGGAGTTGGGCTGGTGGATGTGCTTGGTCAGGGAACTGGAGCAGATACCAGATGTGATTGYGACCCCACAGCTCTTAGTTGCAGCACATTTGTAATGCATGTGTCACTGACATTGTCACTGTGCTGGATTTTTGCTTGCTTGCAGCACCATCAGTCAAAAAATTGAGCTTTCTTTCCCTCCAGTGATGCATTTTTAATTCTTTACAARCAACAGGTATTTATAATCCCATTAACATTTTAAAATGTTTGTTTAGTGTTGCTTTTCCTTCAGAGGAAACAAAATATTTTGGGGTTTTCTCAGTGACAAGCAGTGCACTTACTGTTAAGAATAACTTGGCCTTGCCCAGGGCAGTGTATTGCAAAGAAGTGTAAGGAGTGCATATTTTTGGGTTGGTTAGATGGAAAACAGAACCAATGCATTAGTCATCCTGTTTCGTTTGGGTTGGCTTTTTCTGTGCTTCRTGACTCCAAGAAAAACACGTTTGTCCAATTTGCACACAAAGGGAGAGGCAGGATGTATCTTTCATATAACATCACATTTTGCAATGAACAATATCAGTCTGTGTCATTSCCATGTGCCTGCTAACACATGGAAACAAAGGCAGCATTTGTGTTCCATGGGAATTGCTCATTTTTAATTGAGTCTCTTAAAATATCTTGGTACTTTATTTGCTTGAAAACTTGCATTTGGAGCAAGTTGAATAATCTGTCTCATAAGATTTTATCCTAAATATCTGTATTGAAGCAGAGTGGATGTAGCCAAGCAGTCTTGATATGGAATGCRTGGTGCTTTTTTGGCTCTGGAAGGTGTGAGTTTGTCAATGATGTGATGTTTTGCATGTGACTGTGCAAGCTTTGTTAGATTTTGCACTCTGGAACCAGCGGCACGGGCAGCAGCAATCGTGGTTTCAGAAGTCTTCTCTAAATCATGCATCATTGTTGCAGTATTTCAACCTAAAAAGAAGTTTACCCAGAATTCTTTATCACGTTATCTGGAGCATATTTGATTTTTCTTTACCCCTGTTCTGAGGAAGTGCTGAATAAGATGAACTGATTCATTGTCACTGGTGTTTAGGTCTTACAAGTTTGAAGGAATCCAAGTGATTTCTAGGACACAAGTATCTTTTTTTTGTTTATATGTAGTTCTCTTGAGTCCCAGAAATCAGAAAACAGTCTGTTTGCTGAGATGCAGGAGCTGGGATGAGGGTCTGTTCTGAGTTTTAAAGACCATTTGTTGCAAACCAACCCTGTAGGCTTTTACACTGAGAATTGTTCAAAGAAAGATGACATCATTGTGTTTCAAATGTGTTGTAAAGGGCAGCTCCAAGGTATCCTGGAGTATTTGGGCAAAGGTAGAGAAGCTGAAGAAAACTTGCTGTTGTCTCTTTTTGARCTTTTCTTGTGTATTCAAACTTAATTATATTTGAAATAAAGGAATGTTTTAAAACATGTAAAGGCCTGATGMAAATTCTTTACAGAATGTCATGCAGTGATCAATGTATGCTGTCTGTTTAAACAAGAAACCATTGAAATACTTTTCCACTCAGTGAATCCCTTTCCCTGTTTTATAGAGGAGGTTGCACCGTTTGACAGGGCCCTGTACTTATCTGGTGTGTGTTGACACAGTGTAGTTGGCATTAATTGAGCGATGCTAACTGCTTCTTAATTGACACCATTAGCTGAAAATCTGCACCAAAATTCAGTGGCAGTAGTCGACTGCAGATAGGCAGGAATGTGGGAGTATTGAACAATCATCATAGAAGATGAAGAATGAAATTGAGTKCTAATTTCTGGGTCTTTATGAGGGAAAGCTGTAAGAAAGGGATGAAGGGTTTTAAATGTCTCTAGCAAATCCCATGTGCTTGTAGCTCTCTTGTTAGTTCTGCTCCCAGTCCTTTAGGTTAGCTGGTGATGTAGAACTGTGCCTTAATGTTTATCCTCATGTATGTCTTATTCTTAAAGAGGATTTTCACTTCTGAGTGTCGGATTAGGGCTCGTTCAGCCGGAGCACCAGCAGCAAGAGTAGTTGATCTCAGCACAAACTYGAGATTTCCAGGGCAATTGCTTGAAATTACTTTTATAAAACATTTGCTCAAAATAGTATATTTAAATACTCCATACAATGCAGTGATTCCTTTTCCAAAGCGGACGTTATTTAAATATGTTATTCTCCTGTCACTTTGGGGGAAGAGTCTCTTTTATTCTTTGTAATTGGTTGTCCTTGATGCTCAAACCCATAATCCTAGGCTGTTTTTCTCGTGTAGTTTTCCCTACTTTTAAAACCCCAGCAATTAGAATATAGCTTGCTGGCAGTGGGGTGTGCTCTCTCTTTTAGCTGGGTTAAACAGCTCTGCAATAGCCTAGTGCTGTGGTACAGAGAAAATCCACCACCCAAGGACATCCCTTGGTTCCTGGAAAAGAAGTGAATATTGCTGTTAATGTCCTTTCAGTGTGAAAGGGTTGTGTCACTAAGTGGTGGCAGTCTTAGATTAAATGACGTTTTAAAGAAACCTTTGGTTCTTTTGAAGTCCAGAGTTATTCTTGTGGGCAGAATTAAGGTTTCTCTGGTTCTTAATGTTGTGCATGTTCTTACATAGTAATTCTGATGTCTCTTTCCATGTAACTCTACTGTGAATTTTTAAAAGATTTTACTATTTGGGTGTTTATGAWCTTTGTGGTTTAACTTTGGTGTATGAAACCACATTCAATGTGGATTGTGATTCAATGGTAATTTTTATAAAGAGGTAAGAATTTTATTTGTAGAGTTTRAATAGTTTTGTACTTAATCCATATGTTAGCCTGAGGTTTTAACATTTACTGTATATTGGAAATACAGCTGTATTTCRCTGAAGAACAAATGCTGTTGACAAGCTTAATTTAACACAAAGAATCAGAGAAAATGTTTTCCACTTTGCTAATAGCTTTTCCCCACCTGTTTAAGCTTTTTGATACTGGGGGAGGAAAGAAGCATTAATTGTTGCAGAAGAATAAAGAGCAAAAGCTGTAAAAAGGTGCTTTGAAACTCCTCCTTCAGGTTAGAAGTTGCACATATATCTAACTGTCCTAAATAAAATTCAGGAGTGTTTGTCAATTAGTGTTAAATATGTCTGGTGGGGAGACACATCAGCACTTCACCTGTGGCAGCATTTAAATTGAGGTTTTTTTAGCACATGATCTAATGTTTAGATCAAGAACACCTCAGCCTGAGGATGAGGAATCATTCTTTGGAAGCTCAGAGAAGAGCAAGGACATCCTAAAGAGAAGTGCTTAACACTGATCTCCAAGTTTGCAGGGAAGAGTCGAGATAGCACAAAATGAACCAAACTCACAGCGTGTAACTTGCTTAGTTTATAATGAGTATCAGGTTATTAACTATAGGGGAGAATGGCATGGAATTTATTATTTTGCACAGTTTATTATTCTGCACAGTGTGACGTGGGGTAGAGTTAGCAAAACATCATCACGCTTTGCTAATTAATCTGGCCACCAGCTCTCGATCTTTGTTTAACAATAGCAAAGCTATTCCCAGGCATTCCAACTAGTTTTTAATAACATGGTCAGCTAATCAAAATAAGTGTATTTTTGTGYAAAACAAGAAGCATAGTTATAGTACCCTGGTACGTCTTATATTACTGTTGTGAAAAATTCTAGTTAAATATGCTTAAAGTGGAATTAGGAACAAGGGAAATCTTTGCATATGCTGTAGCTGAATCCATGTGCAYGCAATGAATTATCCAGGTAATTAAAGTTGCTTGGTGCAGTGAGTGGTTTTAAAAGAGATACAAGAAAATTGCTTGGACTTAAATACCGTAAGTATGTAATTGCAGAAAATTGTGTAAATTCGTCTTGGTGTCTGTTGTTTCTATAATGTAAGTTATGTTTTGTGCTGTAACTGGATTTTGTTGCTCTAGGGTGTTTTGGAAGTGAGACAGCCCATTTTAATAGGCTTTTTGGTAAACAGTTTTTAGCAGGAAATCATGAACACACTTCAAATGTCATGAGGCTAAAATAAATGCCTCATCTCTTTGACTTCTTCACATACTCAAATTGTTGGGCATTGCAGTTTGATTCTTTCCTAGTTTATGCTTTTCTAATTGAACTCATTAAGCCATATTATGTCTCTCTAGAAGGCAATTCCTGACATTGTCTCAGTTCTCCATGGAGATGGACACTCAGTGATACCAATGAGTACATCACAAATACGTAGTAGCTCACTGCTGGTAGAAACTCACGTTCTGGCTCAGTTCTCTGCACTTTGTGGGCATTCTGCTCTCTCCAAAAGTCTTCCTCTCCTGGTGTAAATTCTCACAGATTTTTTGCAATTAAATGAAGTTTACTTTGGACCAATTTCTATGCAGCTTTTCATTAGTGAATTGAACAGTAGGAAAGGGTGTTTTGTTCCCCCTGTCGCAGGTGGTCCTCAGATTGATGCCTCTGAGGCTAACTGCATCTAAAGAGCCCTGACCTGAGTTTTGGACACTGTGACACTGTCAGTGTGAAGTTACCAGCCACAATGGCTCTGCAGTCTSTCTGTATGGCACATTGTTCACAGTCCAGCAAGGAAGGAGCACATACAATGCTGCTCTTACAACATCTGAGGACATAGATAGGCAGAGAAATTGAATCTGCTTTTTGAAGATGCCAAATCTGTTTTGCACAAAATAGACACAATTATTGTCTGAAAGACCTGATCAGGTTGAGGTGCCTGTGTTTCTTCATGTGTGCTCCAAAAAGCTGAGTGTGGGTGACTATCAGTTGCCAGCCTGCAGGGAGCCTTAAGTGTACTTAAGTATGTAGCTCATGTTTTCAGGTAATTTTATAGCTCTGTGCTGTTAGTGTGATCTGTTTGTGACCAGGACAATGTTTTATCCTAGGTTTTGAAACTGCCAAGTCCCTTGCCCTGCATGGGGCCCGTGTTATCCTGGCCTGCAGAAGCCTGGTGAGAGGCAACGAGGCCGTGCAGCGGATCCTGGGGGAATGGGTGAGTGCTTGCCCGCAGTGCCCAAACAGAGCTCTGCTTCCCAACACATCACATCTTCTGTGCAGTTCAAGCAGTTAGACACATACAGCATTGCCATGCAAGAATATAAGGAAAAAGGCATTTGTCTTATTTTGTGACATCCTGCTCACTGACTGGTACATGGGTGATAAAGGTTTTTCATTCCATATGAGTGTTGTGCTGTTATTCATGTAACCTATGGATGCTTTGTAAGGGAAAAAAGTGTTTGGGAGGACCACTGAGACTGGATTCATAGGAAAAGGCATTCCAGAACCCAAGTAAATAACTAACCAAAGGAGGATGGGCACAGTCCTCCAAAACAGCCCCTGCTTTGCCCACAGTTGTTCTGCAGTGAGTGATTTCAGAGGGTCATTCTTGTACTTTTCAAACACGAGAATGTTTCTCCTTTTTGAGTCCCTCAGGCCCTGCAGCCCTGCTGTCAGGCACTCTTGTCTCAATGGTTTTTCCTTGCAGCTTCTTCCTACTTTCTTTCATTTTTCTGCTRTTTTTGTCACACAGTCCCATCTATTCCCTTATTGCTCTTTGACTCCTAACTTTCCTTGATACCCCCCGKTTTTTTAAAAAATGAGCTTCTAAGGCCCTTATTAAAATATATTCAGTTACCTTAATTTATTCCTCCCACAGTAATTTACTTGCTAGCAAAGATTGCAGGCTACTTTTTGTCAGAGCTGGCTGGGACTGGTACTTCTAGGAGAGAATGTGGTGACATCTCTACATATAAATGAATAACAGACCAAAGGATCAGATTCTTGGATTTTTATTTCTTTCCAGCTGAAATTAGTGATGAATGTTTTGGTTTTATTTCCTGAGCTCTCAAAGTATTTCAACTGCTCCCAGATGACGTGGGAGAGCACTCAGTAGTATTAATATTTACACATAAGTAGTCTACACATAATTATAATATTTATTAATGCAAAACAAACTGTGCTTTTTTGCAAGTATTTCCAGATAAGTGATGCTTACAATATTGCTAGTCTTTGTAACCACAAGTTTCGTGGTGAAACAGTCTTTGGATTTAGGCCTTTTTCTCTTGCCCAAATGATATGAATGATTTACAGTAAAGGGTTGGTTGGGAAAAATATCTCCCTTTCTGCTTCAACACTTCCCATTAAAGCTCTTTTTTTTTTCCTAATTTCAATATAATGGAGTTTGAAGAGAATTCCAACAGGGTCCAGCATAGTGTGTGTTGCATAAAGTTCATTGGTCTGTTCTCTTTCAATAGAACTGGAATTGGTGGTATTCTGTTGTTTGAATTTGATAGTCCCAGTCCAACAAAATATGGCTGTTTGTATAGGTTTTATGTAGCTAAAGTAAGGCAGTGGTGAGCACTTTTTATTAGAAAAATATCCATTACCCCCTTAACTCTATGAAGACAATGGGAGTTAAGAGTAGTTGTCTTTTTACCAGTATTATCTCACCAAAAATTAATGAATTGTGAATTGAATGAAGATTACAGAAGGTCACATTACTTCACAAGCACAACATTTATTTACTAACAGTTTTCAAATTCTAATTGTTCAGAAAAGGAGTCTCATCTGTAAACTGGGTAGCTGGAAAAACCTTCAATGCATCTTTGTAATGGCTTTGTTGTTGTTTATTGAGAGGGACTAATTAACTTTGATTATTGCACTAATATTATGGCACTTTGACAGTCCCTCAGATTTATGACTCTGGGAAAATAAACAAATGAAATGCAGGTGCTGGAGCAGAAAGAATAAGTTATTACTGAACTTTAATTACTTGGAGTGTGTAACCAGGAGAGAATTAGTTGATGAATTACAAGATGCTTAAAATTTACATCAAATTGTAAGCAATCTTGAAGAAAACAAACACCAAAACCTGCCCCCAAATCAGTTRCTGAAAACAAAGAGACAAAGATTAATTTGATTGATTTGCTTCTAATATTAAAATATTGATGTAAAATATTAATTTTTAGCTTATAGGTGTAACTACAGGAAGTTGTTAATTGAAAATTCTTTCCTAAAAATGAAAGAGTTCTAAAAAAAAGTCAACAACCTCTGCATATGATTCAGATGAATTCTCAATATGTAGCTGCAACTGTTCTGCTAGAAAGAACTTCAAAACATGCACAGAGTTTTGTCTCTTCTGTTCCTAGGGAAAGCAAAATTAGTGAAAGGAAATTGATCTACTTTTCAATTTGGAWTCAATTTTAAGAAAAATACAGCTGGTTAGGATGCAGCCTTACAAAGCCTCACGTTCATGGTACTCAGGAAGTATTTTTAGTAGCAATAGTGGTACCTACTTTTTAATGTTTTCTTGTAAATCTTTGAGATTAAATCGCTGAGCTGCATATAAATAAATACAATGTTCTTCCAGTTTAAGGGGTAGAAATCAGATAAATATGTTCCTACTCTTCAGTGGAGTTTCCAAGCTCCATGTTCTTTTAATTTGCATGAAATATGCTCTTATAACAAAAAAACCCCAAACCACTGCCAAATTGAGTTCTAGTGTGTTTACCTATCATCACAAGTGTGGAGTGTAATAAAATTGGTATTTCTATAAAAACGTATTACCAAAAGCAGTGTATAATAGTGCTGGCTATTCTGTGGGACAGTATCCTGTAGTACTCAAGGTTCAAATGTTGGACACAGAATATTTCCTTTTTCATTCTTTGTCAGATGCAAAGGAGTTCCACATACTTTGCAAGAAGAGAAAATAATTTAAAGTGCATAATGAAGCAACTTACTATTTCAAATTTTGATACAGTTATCTGATAACCTGTATGAACAAAAGCCTGAGGTATCTATGGAAAAAAAAAGTAATTCTTAAAATCCCAACCACCACCTCTCCCAAACCAGAACAAAACAAAAGAAACCCAAACCAAACCTAGTGTAATGCAGCATTTGAGAATAAAATGTAGCGTATATAACAGTAGTGAAGAAAACCACCCAGCTCGTTCCCTTAGTGAGGCTGTTTGTGACATCCCTGTTTGGAATGCCACAGACTGAGTGCAGAAACACAGGAACTCTGCTTGGGGCCTGCTGTACTTCTGAGTAACTTGTTAGGCAAAAAAATGCAGTTTCAATCTGCTTTTAGTGAATGCTGAAAATCAAGTTTATAAAGAGAAAATGGGACAGCTAAATGGCTTCAGAAAATCCAGTTGTTAAGATTTAGAGAAAAAAAGCAGGAATAATAGGAGAAAATAAGATTTTTTCAGATTAGCTGCCATTATGTTTAGAAAGCAAATGCAAACTGATCTTAACTGGCTGTTGTAGACAAATCTGCAAGAGAACTTTGTAACAATTTATGCCTGAAGAGTTGTTTTATGGTGAGTGTTGGGCCATTTGAGTGGGGATTGCCCATATAAACCTTGCTAATTACTTTGGAATACTGAAATTTGTTTTCAACCTGCAGTATTCCAGTTATAGTCTTTCTAAACTACAGCAGAATTTTGCTAATATTGCAAATGAAGGGTAATTGCCTTGTGTAAAGCATTGTGACAAGTTTTAATGTGACTGGTCTGGCTGGTCTATCAAATATAATTTTTATGGAGSGGTATGGTTGATGATATTGGTGCAATCTAATGTTTATACACATGCATATATATATATATATATAGACAGAAAAGGGGAGAGAAAGTATGGAAAGGCAGAAGATAAAAAGAGAGATCAGTATAGCTTTACATTTGATATCCCAAAAATGAGTGTTCATGCTCGATGACGTTCAATATCAATTTAAAACTGTTTGATAATTTCTTGCTCGGAAAAAGAGGAAATTAGAATTCTAGAGTTATGATTCATTTTAATCAGAAAGAAATTGTCAAACATAAATCTCTCCTTGAGTAGTGAAAAGGCCTGAAAGCAGCCAAGAAAAATATCAATACTTTGCAAAGGAGGAATGATTGTTCCAATTCGTAGCTTAATTGACTTTGAGGCTTAATGAAAAACACTACAGTGCTGTTTGTACACATAGTTGCTCTGACGAACATGGAAATCTATGCTCCAGGAAGAGAGGCTAGGTAATTTATTTTACATTATTATTGATATAATTTTCTAATTGAGTATGAGCAGAATGTTTGGATAAGACCGCGTAGCTCCAGATGTTAGTGGTATTCTCAAGAAAATACTTAAGAATATGAATGAATAAAATATTTCATAAATCACAGCTTTTCTTGCCAAGAAGCTCTCATTTATTTATTCCTGTCAAATAGTCTTTGAAGTAGATATTAAAAGATAAATTGTAAGTTCAATATTTCGTAAAAAGTATAATGTTTCTTTGGTAATTATTCCTCAGTGTTAAACGTACAGCTACATTAAAGATTAGATTAAACTGTAAAAAGAACATTTGGATTTGCTTTTTAAGTAAAGACTTACAAGGTAGAGATGTGATGAGAGAGAAAAGCTGTGAAGAAAACCAACCAAACAAACGTGACTCCTTGCTGTATTCCTTTCCCCTGAAGAATTCCTCACCGAAGGAGTGATTTATATTCTTGCTGATTAAGTAACTGAATGAAATTAAATCCTGATAAGTGAGTCTTTGTATTCCAGTTGTGATCTTGTAAAGTGAAAGACAAGGAGCACACTGGGCACGTTTGCCAGACYATGGGCAGTAGTTTTCATGTGGCCATTGTGTTACCCCCTCAAGAAGTGGCTTTCTTTTCCTAKGCAGTGTTTTGTCTCCACTGCTGTCCTTGGGTTAAGATTTTTTGTAAAAAAAGGTTTTTATTTATGGGAAAAGCTGAAGAATGCCCAGAAGATGGTTTTGGGGATGTAGTAAATACTGACTGAAACAGTCTGTTAGTACAGAATCAAAGGGTTTCAAGGTGGTGCCCAATAAAAGCTCTTAAAGGTAATCTTCAAAATAGGAAGTATTTCAGAATATCCTACTAGTAAAGCATATGCATTTCTGTGAGAATATTACTTTTAATATTCTGTCATTAGTTTGTAAAAAGAATTGTCTTGTTTCAAACCATGATATCTAAACTATGTATTGCTGGCTCA